AGCCAAAATGGCTTGAGCCAAAATGAAAAAAAAAAAAAAAAAAAAACTAAAGGCCCGGCGCCGCCAGGGATCGCGGCTTTGGGGCCCGAAGTTTCACTCCTTGACTCTCAAGCCGGCTCTTTCGCCGCCCGCGTGTTCACTGTCCCTCCCACTGCGCCTCAGCTCGTCCTTGACTCTGCAGTCTTTCGGGTCTTGCTCCTTCGTCGTTTGCGGCTTCCGTTGTTTTTGGCCCCTGCTCGTTGCCGCTGCCGGAGGCCGGTCTTGGGTGACCATGTCGCTGCCGGTCCTCGGTCTGGTGTTCTTCGGGCACGGGCGGTCCGCTCGAGCATGCAGCGGCTCGGGTTTGCCGTGAGGCTGGGGCTACGGTTGCCACCAACGTCCTTGTCCGAGATTTGGCATCGCCAATGGATGGCCGTTGTGGGGTGGCTCCCAACTTGCTGTTGACACGACGCTAGTGTCGCCACTCACTTCTGCCGGTGTGCCCCGTCGCACTGCAGGCGCTGCCTTGGTTGCCAAGGAACGCAGTTACCCTGAGTTCGCTGGTGCCCATCGGTGCCGACTCGTTGTCCTTGGCCTCGAGGTTGGGGGTCGCTGGAGTGCAGAGGCAGCCACGTTCATCGGTTTGCTTGCAGGGGCACGATCTCAAAGCGCTGTCCATCGCAGCGGGCAGCATGCGTTGCTGTTTTTGTTTTTTTTCCACGCACCTTTTTGCGTCCGCCTAACTCGCAAGTCCACGTCCCCGTGCAACCTGCGCGCTACGGGCCGAGGCGGCTGGGGCTGGTAAGGACTGCATCGTGCAGTGCGTCCTCGAGTGGCGGGTGCTGCGCGCCAGGCAGGGCGCCAGCGACGTACGGCGCTCCGAGCAGCGTGGCAGCAAGTGTGCTTTGCAAAGCCACGCTCAAGAAGCCCCACCAGCGGCGCAGCCAGCCCTGCCTGGCTGCAGGGCGCAGGGCGGCAGGAGCGCGCTGGGCTCGAAGTCGCACGAGTCGGGTGACCAGACGTAGGGATTCAGCGCTCCGGCATCCCCCAGCTTTGCAGGCAAGGACACAAAGACGCTGCGGCCCGGGTCGCAGCAGCTCAGGGTAGGCCACACGTTTGCGCCGCACTGCGACAAGACATGAGTGTGACGTCGCAACACAACGCCTCGCCAAGTGGAGTAGCCCCGTAGACAACAAAGTCGAGGCCGCGGCGATCGGCTGGGTCAACGTCAGGGGCGGACGTGCGCGCCAGCCACTGCTGGGGCACGACTTGGCCCTCTGGTCCAACAGCTTCGCGCGCGATACGCACCCAAGCATGCTCGAGGGGCTTGGCTCGGCGGGCGAGCAAGCCGGTACGCGGGCACGCGGCGTGGTGATCGCCGTAAGCGTCTACAGCGCCGCCACAATCGTGCCCGTGTGTGCCACATCTGTGTGGAGCGACCGGCAAGGGCAACCGCAGCCGCCGCCGCAGTGCTATGAGCATACGGTCCGGTGGCAGAGCGGAGCCAGCCTCGCTCGGTATGGCACTGAGCCACGCGGCCGCGTGCGGCCCGGACCGCGAACGCAGCAGGCAGGGGGTAGCAGGGTAGGCAGCAGCTCGGTCTCGCGAAAGTGGGAAGAGCAGGCGCGGGAACCGTGGTGCTGCCATCCCTGGCACCTCTCGCCAGTCTCAGGAAGGTCGCATTGTGCGGGGCGCAGGCCGTTGTGTACATCGTGCCGAGATGGGCGGCCCTGCCATCCGGCACCTTCGAGCACGCGGCCAGCTTCGTCGGCAGCACGCAGGCAGGCGGCAGCAGCAGCTGGACCTGCAGCGAGTTCTGCGAGGCACCTTGCTGCTGCATGCTGCTGCATCGGGGCGGCGCGCGCGCAGGACGGGCAGTGCGTCGCAAGGTGGTCTGGGTTTCTCTCTGTCGCAGCTGCGCGTTCCTTCGCGGCCAGCTTGCTGTCCCTTCCCATCTCCAACACTGCCAACCTTGACGGCGAGCCGCCTCTCCTAAGTGACGTTCCCGCAGACTCGTCGGAGATCGTAAGCTTCGGCTAGGTTAGGTGGGGTGAGGCCTTCTCCTCGATCAGGTTGCGTCCGGTAGTCTCCTGCACTGGGACCCGCTTCGGATGTTTGCAAAATGGTCTTAGGGAAAGAAAGACCAAGCCAGCAAGGGCTCGTCGTAATCGGCGCTCCACTTGGCACGGACGTTTTTGTGCACCGGCAGCTCGAAGACCTACGGGCCGCTTGGCTTCTCCTCCGGTACTGCCCGTGCCCCCGGGCAAATTACCTGTTGCCGGTTTTGCCACCGGCCTCCACCTCCCAGCACGCAGCTGAACACGATGCTGCCGTTGGCCGCTGTCTCGCAGTCCTCCGGCGGGAGCACAGGAGCTCAGGGTACGTCTCGCGCCGCTTCCTCCGCCCAGCTCGGGCGAGGGCGACGACCACTGCAGAAGAGGAGTTTGACCTTTTTGGTCCAGGACCAGTTTCGGCAGCGCCTGCAGCTGCTCAGCCGGAAGCGAATCCGTTCGTTCCTGTGCAAGGTCCGGCTCCTGCTCCTACGCAAGCGACAGCACAGCCTTTTGTTCCAGCTTCGGCGACGGGAACGCCGAGCTGCCCACGCTGGTGATGCGCACGCGCTTGAGACGCATCTTTCAGACCTCTCCCCTGCGTCTCGCGCCTTGTTGCTTTCGCAAGCCGGACCAGCTGCCGTCGCGGCCTCGGCCCTCGATGCACTTGGTGACCACCGTGCGGCCTGCGCCACATCGGGTGTACTCCCAACCTGGAACGGGCATTGGCCCGTGTTTGCCGCGCAGGAGTTGCCCGGGTCGCCCGCAACGCCCGCGTCGCTGATATGAACGTTGACCTCCCGATCAGCGACGGCCGCCGCATCGAGGTCGTCTGCAACGGCCTTGCGCTGTGGCACGGAGCGGCCACTCAGCTTGCAAATGCTGATGTGGCGGAATCGGTGCTCGTGCCTTGGTGTTTTCGCGCTTGACCGCGCTTGCCAATGCTTGCCAAACCTGTGCTGCGTGAGGAGGGGATAGGGGTTAACAAAAAATCAAATAAGGACCAAGAAAAATGAAATAAGGATCAAAATAATTATATAAGGATCAAAAAAGGACAGGAAGGCAGGAAGAAAGCAGGGCCGCCCCGCAAGCAAGCAAGCAAACAAGAGAGAGATAGCCCGGGGGCTCTGATCCGCCCCTACGCCCGGCAGAGAGTGAGAGAGAGAGAAAGAAAGAAAGGAAGACAGAAAGAAAGAAAGAGCGAAAGAGAGAAAGAAATAACGAAAGAAAAAGCGAAAGAAAGAACTAAAGCAAGAACGAAAGAAAGAACGAAAGAAAGAACGAAAGACATGAAAAAAGGAAGGAAAGCGAGAAAGACAAAAACGAAGGAAGGGAGTATGAAATGAAAAAGAAAGATGTACTATGTTACAGTGTACTACACGATAAACTAAGATGTTGTTTTGTTCTCTGTTGTATTCTGTTATATTGTATTGTTGTATTTTGCTGTAAGAAGCAATGTTATGTTATGTCAGAAAATGTCACGCTATTTTTGGGATGTCGAACCATCTCATGTCGTTCTTATGGTTTACTATGTTATATTATGTTAGAGTGTTAAGGGAAGAAGAGACAAGAACAGGCACGGAAGAACGATAGACCCACCGCCGCGCTTTTCGAGCCGTGCAAGCTTGATCCAAGGAGTGTTTTCGAAGCCCATCGTGCGAGCGTTGTGTCTGCAAATAAGGGGGGCTGCGGCCCCCCTCAACCCCCCGCTGTTTTAAGCCGTGCAGGGTTGCTTTGAAGCATATGGCTTTTATTGAAACCCAGCAAATGGGGGGGGGGGCTCCGCCCCTGTAGATACATGCTGAACCAGAATCGCCAAATGAGGGGGCGTGTTTAAGAAAATAGTGTTTTCCTAGGAAAAACAAGGAAAACTTAAGGAAATACCACTGAGTCCGTAGGAAAATCGTGTTTTCTCGAGGAAAAACCAAGCAGATCCTAAGGAAATGAAAGAGAATCCGTAGGAAAAAAGTGTTTTCTTTGCGAAAAACTCAGGAATTGCTGTATTTACAATACTTTATTTTTTTTTGCTGATTTTGATTCTCTTTTGATGCCTGCACCAGGAATTGCTGTATTTTAAGTGATTTTTTTTTTATTTTTTTAAAGATTTTTTTTGATCCTGATTTTAATTTTTTTTGATCCTTCTATGTATTTTTTTTGATCCTTATTTATTTTTTTTGATCCTTTCCCCCCCGGGGAGTGCGCGGAATCGCCACGGGCGACATGCTGCGTCGCCTTGTCTCTCGAACGCTCGCCCGGCAGTTCGCGGCGGTGTTTGACCGGGCAACTCGCCCATACCAGTTCGCGCTGCAAGCCTGCGCAAGCTGAGTCACTGCAAGGGACCCGTCAGGTCCCAACATGCAGACACACAACCAGTCGCAGCAGCCCCAAGCCCAAGGAGGGCCGCCACCACCGAAGCGGGCCAAACCTACACACCCTTCCTCGACGACAGAACCCGTCGCACCACGGGCCTATTGCCCAACCGGCCCCACCAGCAACAGCACCTCAAGCAAAGCAGCCGCATTGGCAAACATAGCCCCCGCAACATGGAGCTCGCCGTCCAACGGCACCGATTTCTTAGCAACCATGTTGCGAGCCGCGACGGAGCTGGATGCCAATGCCACGGTCGTTTCGTTAGATAGCCGATTGTTTTGGCGACGTCAGCGTCCGGGGTTTCGGCGAAAGGAGTCGAGGAAAAGATCTCGCTGAGCAGAGGCTGGTCGCCGTCACGAGGGAAGGTTCCGGCGGCTGAGAAGACGAGCACGGCGGACCATCGCGAGGTGAAGCAGCTATGGTTGCAGGGCAGCCTCGGAACTGGCATTGACTTTTGCACTTGCACCACGTCGCACTTTGTCTTCTGATTTCCCCCTGTTTCCACTTGTTTAACGTGGCATGAACAAAAATCTTCGAAACAGAGCTGTGCCAGCACGTGCGCACACGCACAAACAGACAGACGGAAAGTGTCGAGCACAGGAGCTGACATTTGTCGCCAAATCCTTGGGTTTGACTGGTGAGATGCCGCGAGGACCATGCTTCAAGAGCCCTCATTCTGAGCAGAAACACTCAGCCATTGGCGGCAGGTTCTCCTATGCCGTGGAAGCCGTACACGGCCTTCGCGACCCTTGCAGATTGTTTGTGGCTTCTGTGGGAGCTTCATGCCTAGCGTGTGTGCCGCTCGCTTGTCTTTGTAAAGTGCGTGCGAATTTCGAGCTCAGGTCCGCACTCTGTGGCGAGCCCTTGATGATTTTTTCGCCGGATTATCCGACCAAGGCGAGCCAAGAGGGTTGAGGAAGACTTATTGGATGTTGTGATTGCAGTCAGGTTGCTGAAGCTGTCCTTGCCGTCCACTTCTCACTACCACTTCTCATGCATTCCAAGTCTTGCCATAGCCAGCGGTGAGCTGAGGTGGCATCACTCATTTCTCCAGTTGAGTACAGCGGAGATTTCCGCACCTTGCATTACACCACTACGTGCGGCAAGCTTTTTGCTAGATTGCATGGCTCAGTCAAAGGTCCATACTTCACCATCTATGACGGTGATTTCGAGCACTACCGTCAACATGCTCGCGGCCAGTTTGTTTTGAGCGCCGGAATTTGTTGAAGGTCCTTGATTGCCGTTGCCGCTGCAACCCTAGGTGCAAAGCAATGGAGCCTCTTCCAAGGCTGCGACCTTGGAGACGTTGCTGGAACACTTACGGGTAACAGGTAGTCGCACCAGAGTCGGCAATCGGTTCGTTTGGCAAGTGATTTGGGATGTTCTTGCTGTGTCTGGAGGCTGTCGTGTTTGGTGTGACGAACCCGGTAATGCTGCAGTTGCTGGCAGGGACCGTAGTCAAGTATTTCGTGACACAACGAAAGCCTGTGAAAAACTTTGCAGCCGGCGTCCTCAGGCCGACTTTCCGATTTCTGTTTTGCTGCAACCTCGCCATCGTGAGGATGCGAGCACCCAGCCCGAATCTCAAACTTCGTTTGGCCCCATCCTATGATCCTTGGCAGACATTGGGGACCCAGTGCACCTTGTGCAAGGTCTCCGCTTCCAGCCCCAGCAGCTTCACAAGAAGCCGACGCCCAAGTTCATGCATGGGATATTGCCCCAAATCCTTGCCATGATCTTCGGAGGCCGTCGCTACTGCTGCAGAGATTGCTGCTATGCCGAGGTTTTGGTGGAATCTCCAACTGGGGACCGCTTTGCACTTGTTTGACCTTCACTGCTGTTTTGTTGTTCGATTGCCAATGAGACGTCAATCCCAGCTTGAAAATGACGCAGCCGTCAGCCCACACGATCTCCTGCCCCCCTCTGCCCCAGTTAAAGCCTCACAGCCATGGGTCCCATGAAGGCGATGAAGGCCCGGTTCATGCGACCGCTTGCTGTATCTTGCTGCAGACTTGGTGGCTGAATGGATGTGATATCATTCAGCCTGAAGTGCAGGCTATGAAGACGATGAAGTCCATGAAGGCGATGAAGGCAGCCCGTGCCGCCCCGAAGGGTGAGATTGCCAGCCAGCTGGCCGAGAGCGCAGGCTTGAAGAAGAGCGAGGTGATGCAATTGCTCGATGCCTTGGCGGACATCGGAACAAAGGAGCTGAAGAAGGCAGGGAAGTTCACCCTTCCCGGACTTGTCATGATCAAGACCCGCAAGAAGAAGGCCACCAAGGCGGGCAAGCGGATGATGTTCGGAAACTTAGATATAGAGTAGGTAACCTTTAGCTTTTTCGAATTTTACAACCCCTATACACAGACCAAAAGGTTAATCGTTAGTTCCCCGAGGATACTGGACAAGTAAGGAAAAGAGGTGAAGGTGAAGGCTCAACCTGCCAAGACCGTGGTGAAGGCGTCTCCAGTCAAGGCGGTGAAGGACCAGTTCTAAGTGCGTCGACGGCATTTTGAGGTGCTCGTGATTCACACGATCTCTTGGTGCAGCTGGTGTGCTGGTGCTGCTGTCATGCGAGTGCTCACAGAGGTGAGCATGTTTTGATGAGGCTGAGCCATCATGCCCCCAGCGGCAAGACTTGCAATGCATCAGTGAATCACGTGTTGTTTGTAGACCAGCATCTTCGTCAAGAGGGGCCTTTGCTCGGTTGACGGTTTGGTAGGGATGCACTGCTGTAGCAGTATGTTCAATCTGTTTCAGTATGCAAACATGCGGGGCGCAAGCCGGTGAACCGCTGTTGGAGGGAAACAAGCTGGCCGACTCCCCCTGTTTGACTGCTAGGTGGAGGTACCCTGCTGGTTGCGCTCAGGAAGGTAGAGAGTTGAGGAGCTAAGGTGCTTGCTTGCAGGTCATATCTTGTGCGTGCTGAAGGCGCAAGCAATTGAGCCGTTTCGGCCCTTGCTGGTAAAGCCGCTTTCGCTTGCCTCTCTTCTTCTGTCACTTTCCCGAAGCCATGGGTCCCATGAAGGCGATGAAGGCCCGGTTCATGCGACCGCTTGCTGTATCTTGCTGCAGACTTGGTGGCTGAATGGATGTGATATCATTCAGCCTGAAGTGCAGGCTATGAAGACGATGAAGTCCATGAAGGCGATGAAGGCAGCCCGTGCCGCCCCGAAGGGTGAGATTGCCAGCCAGCTGGCCGAGAGCGCAGGCTTGAAGAAGAGCGAGGTGATGCAATTGCTCGATGCCTTGGCGGACATCGGAACAAAGGAGCTGAAGAAGGCAGGGAAGTTCACCCTTCCCGGACTTGTCATGATCAAGACCCGCAAGAAGAAGGCCACCAAGGCGGGCAAGCGGATGATGTTCGGAAACTTAGATATAGAGTAGGTAACCTTTAGCTTTTTCGAATTTTACAACCCCTATACACAGACCAAAAGGTTAATCGTTAGTTCCCGGAGGATACTGGACAAGTAAGGAAAAGAGGTGAAGGTGAAGGCTCAACCTGCCAAGACCGTGGTGAAGGCGTCTCCAGTCAAGGCGGTGAAGGACCAGTTCTAAGTGCGTCGACGGCATTTTGAGGTGCTCGTGATTCACACGATCTCTTGGTGCAGCTGGTGTGCTGGTGCTGCTGTCATGCGAGTGCTCACAGAGGTGAGCATGTTTTGATGAGGCTGAGCCATCATGCCCCCAGCGGCAAGACTTGCAATGCATCAGTGACTCACGTGTTGTTTGTAGACCAGCATCTTCGTCAAGAGGGGCCTTTGCTCGGTTGACGGTTTGGTAGGGATGCACTGCTGTAGCAGTATGTTCAATCTGTTTCAGTATGCAAACATGCGGGGCGCAAGCCGGTGAACCGCTGTTGGAGGGAAACAAGCTGGCCGACTCCCCCTGTTTGACTGCTAGGTGGAGGTACCCTGCTGGTTGCGCTCAGGAAGGTAGAGAGTTGAGGAGCTAAGGTGTTTGCTTGCAGGTCATATCTTGTGCGTGCTGAAGGCGCAAGCAATTGAGCCGTTTCGGCCCTTGCTGGTAAAGCCGCTTTCGCTTGCCTCTCTTCTTCTGTCACTTTCCCGAAGCCATGGGTCCCATGAAGGCGATGAAGGCCCGGTTCATGCGACCGCTTGCTGTATCTTGCTGCAGACTTGGTGGCTGAATGGATGTGATATCATTCAGCCTGAAGTGCAGGCTATGAAGACGATGAAGTCCATGAAGGCGATGAAGGCAGCCCGTGCCGCCCCGAAGGGTGAGATTGCCAGCCAGCTGGCCGAGAGCGCAGGCTTGAAGAAGAGCGAGGTGATGCAATTGCTCGATGCCTTGGCGGACATCGGAACAAAGGAGCTGAAGAAGGCAGGGAAGTTCACCCTTCCCGGACTTGTCATGATCAAGACCCGCAAGAAGAAGGCCACCAAGGCGGGCAAGCGGATGATGTTCGGAAACTTAGATATAGAGTAGGTAACCTTTAGCTTTTTCGAATTTTACAACCCCTATACACAGACCAAAAGGTTAATCGTTAGTTCCCCGAGGATACTGGACAAGTAAGGAAAAGAGGTGAAGGTGAAGGCTCAACCTGCCAAGACCGTGGTGAAGGCGTCTCCAGTCAAGGCGGTGAAGGACCAGTTCTAAGTGCGTCGACGGCATTTTGAGGTGCTCGTGATTCACACGATCTCTTGGTGCAGCTGGTGTGCTGGTGCTGCTGTCATGCGAGTGCTCACAGAGGTGAGCATGTTTTGATGAGGCTGAGCCATCATGCCCCCAGCGGCAAGACTTGCAATGCATCAGCGACTCACGTGTTGTTTGTAGACGAGCATCTTCGTCAAGAGCGGTTGACGGTTTGATGGGGATGCATTGCCATCGTCTTGACGCCTTTCGCTGCAAGTTGGGCCAAAAGCTGCAGCACGATTTTGAAGCCTACCGTCTCTAGAGAGTTTTGCATTCTGATCTGTCCGTGCCGGAATGTTATATTGACGAGGACAGGCTGCAGCGAGCTCGCCGTGTCCCTGCAAGTGGCCTCGGGCTCGGCGGTGAGACCTTCCGGTGCTTGTGACGTGTGGTTCTGTTCGGGTCAGTAGCATGCTCAGTTGCACAAGGTCGTGGATATGCACAACCAGAACTTCCTCAGACTGGCCTGGGGCGCGACCTGCATGGGATGCTGGAGTGATAAGAGTGCTTTGCGACCGATTCTGTCATTTTTGTTCCACTCTTGTCTGGAGCAGGGTGCTCGATGCCGATGCTGAGCTACTGCAGCGTATCAAGGCCACGCCTGCCACGGTGTTTGGGCTTGCTCAGCGGACCGGTATGGCGAGGCATCAGATTGTGTGGACCAGGATGACACCGTCCTTCGCCAGCCGGCAAGTTTTAGGTTTATGTACGGGGTGCTCCTGGCTGCGACACTGATGGTTTTGTCGAGCATGCATGGACTAGTACACCGTACGAACAAGACATGACAGGCTACTTCTATGCCAGGGCCGCAGAGAAGACTCTCCATCAGGTGATTCTTCAACAGAGGGTGCGTGACTGGGCATGAAGCTCATATAAGGAGCTAACGTTGGCATTCCTTCGTCCGTTGGGCGCTCAGACACGTAGGACCAGAAGCGAGGGTCGAAGACTTCCACTGCCACCGCTTAGGTTTCTACCTCACCTCGAAGCTTTGACAGGAGCTGCAGGAGGCGAGGAGGGTCGGCTGCCGATGCCAATGAAGCCCCAGATTCGCTGGCGTCCTGAGGTGCAACGTTCGATGTGAGCTCTTTCCTTGCATCCTTGCAGCCTGTTGGTGCGGCTCCGACTTGCGCAGTGGGAGGGTGCGGGCTAAGGGTTTCAAGCCATAATTTCCGATCTCGGCCTTTTCCCGAGGTCCCTTCTCTCAAATCTCGCGAAATGATTGCTTTCTGCTCGGTGTTGCCCGTTGTCAATAACTTGATCGTTGACATCGTCATTCCGAGGCCAGAACCTGTACTCTCGCTTCATCCGGGGAGTGAATTTCAAGCAGCGCCCCTGGCCATCGAATTCGCTCAGAGAGGGTTTTGTTTTGTCTGCAGGCCCTGGCTTGCCAAGCAAGTTTCGACATTCCCCCGGCCGCGTGAGGACCCGGTTGACAATTTCTTTTGTCCGGGAACTGGTGTTGTGTTTGTCTCAGGACGCAAGCCCGGCTGATGCTGCGATGGCAGGTGGCGTTCCGCTGCAGGGAGAGCTCTCAGCAATGCGCCTCCACTTTGTGGAGGACACGCGATGGTGAACAGTGGCGTCGGTGAAAGTGACCGGACCCTTTCGGACCATCCAGGCGGAGTTGCGGAAGGGGCTGCCGCTCGTATGTGCTTTGATGGAGTGTTTACAGTAGTGAGCGGAACATACTTTACGAGACTGCGAGTTTCTGCGAGTACCCTTGCTGCCCCGCCTGACCGTCGCTCGCTGCCTGAAGGTCTCGGTGATTCGAGCCCCTCGGAGAGCACGGCCTTGCAGAAGAAAAAGTCACCCACGACCTGCGACGCAGTTGCAGATTCTGCGCACTGGAGTTTTCCTGACCTTTCCGGCATCCGGAGTCTTGTCGTCATGGCTCTCGATGTCGCCAGACGTCTCGCTTGGCAACAGTGCCGGTGAAAACATCGAAAAACGTCGCTACCATCTGGTCAGATTGCAATGAATCCTGCGATGTATCGACTGCAGAGGCAACCCACGCTTATGGTTGCAAGTTTGTGTGAAACACCCGGCAGCTTAAGAAAGCAAGCATGTCCTTCAACTCTAATGGCTGATGCTCGCATGCCCGTAATGCCCCGCAAATGATCGTCGCCATGGCTGATGAGATTGTGCGACACGGCCAAGACAGCGTAAGCTTCTTGCTTGTTGAGTCTGGATCGATTTGTTTACGGTGGCCTGTCCGGCGCTCTGCTTAACCACTCCTTGAGGCTCGGGAAGGCGCAGCACATAGTTTGAATGGCAGAAGATAGCAGGGCCTCGCGTGGCTCTTTCACTGGGAGATCCAAGCAGCTCATGCTGTAATCGCACAGCAACTTCGCGAAAATGACACTCCGCTTCAAGCTGTGTCGCAGCCCAGGGAAGCACATGCACCTCAAAGTGTTGACCTTCCACAGGCCAAATCACTGCACTGATTGCACATTGGTGATTGGTGGCCTTGACTGTACCAGCGACAGTTCATGTTCTCGACTTGTCCTGCAGGAGCTTCGCGAGCAGGGTGTGGCGAGGATGCGCCGCGCGCACCTGGCCTCCCAATGTCTCGAGTGCCAGAAACAGAGCCGAAGCCGCATGCATCGCAAGCCCCAGACATGCGCAGCAGCTGGTTTTGGATGTTAGATGTTCTGTTTGCCCTGACCAGGATCCTGCCTGGGGATGAGATTTACCCCGTTGAAGGCCACTCTCTCATCTTCGACCCAGCTATACCCAGTAAGAGCGCTCAGAACCCCCGAGCTCCAACAAAGCAGCATGTCGCCAAGGTCGCCCGGGCTTGAAGCGTAGCTCCCTTTGCTGGCTTCACCTCCCGTGCGCACAGCGCTTGGGCCCTCCTCCTGTGCCGCGGCTTGGCTGAATATCTTGGTGCAGCCTTTTGAGTGCGCCAGCACTCGCTCCATGTTCGCCTGTGGAGGCTGTGTAAGCACTTCGTACGCTCCGGATGCTGCCTCTACGGTGAAGACTGCTTCTTCGCTCATCCCCCGGAGGTGATTTGGCCTTCGGTTCTCAGAGGGCTCAGACCTTTGTCTAGATGCAACGGCTTTCTTCATTGGATTCTGACACTGGTAGTCACATGAGTTCCTCGTGCAACGCAGATACCTGTAGATGTAAGTCAGCACATGCTGCATTCGGTGAGGTGTGCTGGTAGTTCCACCCTTGCGGGTTCTTCTTTAGCTGAAACAGATTGGACTGAACAGGCTGGCCAGGAGGCGCTCCAAAGGAAACGATCTCGAGCACAGCGTCCAAACACCAAGATCGCAAATCGCGCGAGGCTCAGGCGGTTGAGGCCAGAGACGGAACCTGCCCTGACGTACTTGAGGAGGGGAAGGACGGCGGAATGGGGCCAGACCCCCAACACTGGTCGCGACAGGCATTAGAATGTGTGTTGGGCATTCGATGACCGAGCAAGGTGAAGAACTACAGCAAAGCATCGGTATTGCGAAGGTCCGGGTTTCAGAGGTTTTCTCTTCAAGTCGAACCTACATAGAGTGGTGCTTTTCTCGCAGAGGTGGCTTCTGGACACTTTCGGCGTGCAGTGCTTGCGTGCCGGCAGCGGCGTTTTGGACGTTGCTGGCGGGAAGGGCGAGCTGGCCTGGGAGTTGGTAAATCTGAATCTAATCCCTGCGGTCGTACTGGAGCCAAGACTTCTGGAGCTCCAGTCTGTCGAACGCAAATGGCGCAATGGCATATTCTGGCGCAACCCAATTTTTCACAGCCATCTCCACTGTGCCCACGACTCTTCAATCTCACCTTGTCGACCGGGACACCTGCGCTTGATCATCACGCCTGCACTGGTCACTTGGCTTAGTTGCCTTCAGAGTCAGCCAGGCGAAGATAACGACGGCCTCGTGGGCAACCTGGGGAACTTGAGCGCCTTTGAGCACGCCCGTGAGAGAGCCCAAGATCTCCGCTGGACACGAAAAGGGCTCCAAACACATGAGGAAGACGACGCTCTGGGGGAGCACATAGAGATGGAGGATGACGCCATCATGGAAGCTGCCTTGGCAGATGGGTCGACAGATCCAGAGAAGTGGGTAGAAACTTTGCAGAAGACCACGAAGTGTCGTAAGTAAGCAGAAGCAGCAGGGGCTCATGTCTTTGGCATGGCCAGCCTTAGAAGAGCTTCACTGCTGGGCTGAGGCATATGAGGAGGATCTCGAATGTGGACGGCTCGCAGCAGAAGCTAAGGAGAGTATTCTCAACTGCAGCGCCGCTCCAGCCTTATCTCGATCAGTGACAGTCGGCTTCTGCGACTCCAGCCTTACTCAGGTCGTGGCTTTGCATCCGGACCAAGCAGCGGAACCGGCCCTTCGCTTGGCACTGGCCTTGCGAAAGCCCTGTGCCATCGTGCCCTGCTGCGTCTACTCGGCAGGTGACATGCCTTAGCTAGCTCTACTCTAGCTGTCATGTGAGGAAGGGACCGAGGTGAAATACGAACAATCAGTGCGTTTCGCACCGACCTTAAGGAACAGGCTAAGCGTACAGTCGCCGGTCGCCCCGTCGCTGTTGTTTTGTTCTTTTCCAACACCTGCCTGTCAGAATTTCCGAAGCGCAAGCTGCGTAGCGGCCGGCCGGTCAGGAGCGCTGCCAACCCGACCCAAAGTACTCGTACCACGTATTGCTCGGTCCAGAAGACTCCTTGGCTCTTTGCAGTTTTATGCCCTCCACTCTTGCGTCGTATAGCTTAGAAAAGCAGTGTCATGCAGGACTTACGAGGAACTTCTGGAATACCTTCAACAGCTGGATGAGCGCATTCAGCGAGTGGATTTGGACTTCGAGGGAAAACGTGCCATGGCTGATGGGCTCTGTCAGTTGCCGCGAAAGAACGAACGAACAAACACGGGGACACACACACACATACATGCACATACATACATACATGCGCATACATACATATACATACACACACAAACACAATTTTTCGCATTTCGCATTTCGTGGCAATGAGTCCAGTCGGACGCAGCCGGTATTCGGCTTGCATTAATTAAAGGGTGAAAAGTGCGGGTGGAGCCGAAGACAATGGGCAGTTGGCCAGGAAAAGTCCATTTGCTCGGCTCAAGCTGTGGGGCGCGAGGGAGGTCAGAGCCCCGAGTGCAGGACAATCAAATCCAGACACGAGGAGGACAGCTCCAGCACCATGGGTCCACAGATGCAGGACCCCTCGGACCAGGTCGCTGAACAGTCGAAGCCGGTGCAACCTGGCCTCAAGACACGAAAAGGACCGTAGAGGGGAAGGAGGCTGAAGTGATGGGAGGATGTGCCTGACACCACAGACGACAACAGCCTCTGCAGCACACTGACAGAGTTGTCCGAAATCAAGCAAGGACGAATCTGCAATGCATGCTAAATGGGTGCGGATAGGCACCTCAGGCAGGTGCAAAGAGAGTTCAACCCTATCAGTGAAGACAAGGGAAACCTCGATCCGAGCTCCAGACCAGGAGGGAAGGACAGCATGATGGAAATCGAGCCATGGTAAAACGGTGGAGGCATCACGAAAGGTGCTGATGCTGGCCGCAGGAGCAACAAGGTGAGGTACCAACCACTCAACCAAGTCAATGGACAAAAGGAAACGAGCAGCTTTGGTGTGCCAACTGGCCCACTGCACCGGCCATTCCTCGTCCTGGGAAAGAAGATCTTGGAGACAGTCATGCCAAGCAGCGGCTGTTGCTCGAAGCCTAGTGCGCTGCAAACACACAGTACAGAAGGCAAACCGAATCTTTTCAACGAGGGCAACATACGAGGCGGCTCCATCCTCAGGATGGCAGAAGACTCGAGTCGCCCAAGGACTTCCTCGGAAGGCCGATCAGGCTCCTGAACGAGCGGTTGAAAACTCCAAGGCTTGGAAGGTCCGGAGGCCTGCATGACCGGGACAAGTGAGTCATCCCCTGTATCAAGCCTCCTAGATCCTCGACCGGGGAGAGGCTGAACCGCATGTTCTGCAGTAGTGAGAGCATCGCGGCATCCGCGATTGTGTCGCAGATGGTTACAAAGCCTTCCATTCGATGCGAAGGTCCGCAAACAGACAGGGCACTGGGACCCGTCTGCGAGATGCCTTTCAGGGCGAATACGCCCATGGCGTTTAAACGCATGATGAGACCACGCGCGTAGGTCAGCAAAGCCCTGCTGGCAAATAGCACAGATTTCATTACTCGAGGCAACTGGTTGGGCGATCGGGGAGCAGGTCGCTCCAGTTTTGTTGAGGGCACGCAAAACATGACCATGGAAAAGTTGGACTTCCGCAGTCCACCGATCCTGAAGAAGTGCGAGCTGCCTAGCTTTGCGAATCCAAGACTTCCACTTTCCAGGGGAATTGCGAATCACCTGGAGGCAGTCGTCCCGGAGGGTCATATATTCTGGCAGCCAGCAAGCCCAGTGTCAAAAAGGCAGTCGTCCCACACAAGTGGTCTGCCCGAGTGATCGGCACGCTTTAAGCACTCAACGAGCCATTGGACGGAGCCCTCGGCAAGCCGAAGCCATGTTTCTTCAGCATGCAAAATGGCCCACAGCTCACTGGGACCCAACCTCACAAGAAGAGCTAAATGTCGAAGTCGCTCAATGTGCACAAGTGTCCCAACCTGGGGAATCCGAGCAAGTGCAAAAACAAACCCATGAGGAAGGTGGCAGGCTTTCTCAAAGGAGTAGGAGGGCTTCAACATGATGCGTGCCATTTGGAGGAGGGCGTGCTGAATTGGAGCAAGGTCATCATTGCCAAACACTGTCCATGTCCCAGAGGCAAAGGCAAGTGTCGAGAGCACAACTGACTCAAAGATGATCGCTTTGTCCCGGGCAGAGACAAAGGCAGACCCAAAAACCCGTTTTTGGTGCTTACGGAATGCAGTCCAAGCGTGTCCCACACGGGTCTTTATTTCAGGTTTTAAAGCTCCGCTGTGATGCACAATCCCTCCTAGGTGGCAATACTTTGGGACTACCCTAAGGCGGGATCCAGGCCACATCTCAGAGGGGATGTCTAGGCTAGGACCAATGCCAGCCAATGCCTGGATTCTCAAGGAGCGGGCTCCTTTCCCACGGAGGGAAAGAACAGTTTCGGTTTTGCCCGGACCCAAGTTCGGCATCAAAATAGCCCGGACACATTCATCAAGCATCGTCGCAGCAACTCTCCGAGTGCCCTCAAGCACCGCAGATGCAGACGATGAGTAGTAAAGGAGGGCACAATCATCCATCCAAGTGACATCGGCAGGGGACTGTGCGGTAAGCCCAGAGTCCGAACACTTGGTGAGGGAGGCCTTCCAGTCCTCACTCCATGCAAAACAACACTGCAGATCAAGATCCCGGAGCTTCCTCCTGATGCGGGCTAGTACCTCTGAAAAGAGGAAACTAAAAAGGAGATCCGCCAAATTGTCGCCGGGTCTTGTACCCCCGCGGACTGATGCGAGCGATGATGTGCGCCCAAGTGAACCAAGTGTCACTCAAGACCTCAGTTAGAGCCCCAGAAAGCCAAGGATCAGCACCTGAGTCGGCAAAGATTGGGGTGTCTCGAACGTAGTCCTGCAGGCGACTGAAGGCATCCTCAGGAAAGCGCAGAGTGCGCAGAATGCCGACGACATTAGCATCGTCAAGAGGGCCTCCTGTGAGCAGGGGTCTCACGACCCTATGGAAGGCTTCCTTGAGGTCTAAGAAGACAACTGCGCTCGAAAGACCATGGTTCTGACAAAAGCTCTGAAAAGAGCGCACAGTATGATTTGCAAGCTGAACCGGATAACCTGGCCGACCTCCGATTTGGAGGCTGCCAGCGACAGAGTCGAGGAAAGGGGCTGCTTTTCGTCTCAGCGCGCTGTGGAAGGCTTTTCCCGGCGCGCTTGAAACAAGGATACCTCTAAAGGACTCGCACTGCCGCATGGAACCCTCGTTTCCAAATGGCAAAGAGTGACCCTCCCTTCCAATGGACCGGCTCAGCAAGGCGATAGGACGCCTTGAGTGCAACTTGGTACAGGGGGAGGGAGACAGAACTGGCTTGCAGATGGAGAAAATCGGCAGGTATACAGTCGTTCCCTTGCGACTTGCCGGTGGGTGACCGCCTCAAACAGTCCTCGAAAAGACAGCGAGAGGGAACAATCCGATGGTCAAGAGTGAGATCGGACAGATCCTGGGTGGTCTGACGGTGCCGACACTGTCTGAGGAGAGCATCAGGCGTGGTTGGTCCGCCATCCTCAAGCTGGCTGAAATGTCGGATCCAACGGTCGGTTGCCTGAGCATGGTCCCCAGCAACGGAACCATCCTCAAGCTCAACAACTGGAAGGGACAGGGTGCCCCTCTGCTTCTTCTTGGGAGGCCCAAGTAGAGGACGAAGCTTCACAACAACATCCTTAGCAGCACCAGAAGAGGCCGACACAGCAATCTCATGTAAGTATCGACTACGGTCACTAACAATGGACCGTTTGAGAAGGGGCTTGATTGTCCGAAGCTCTTGCAGATGCTGGCGGAATTCAAGGACACACGTGAGAAGTGACGAGACTAGGGGCCGGAGCAAGCCAGTGAGGGTGCAGTGCGATCGGAGAGCATGGAAGGCCCCACGTAGTTCAACTGTCCGAGCCCAATGTGCCGAGGCATGGAGCCGTTTACGAAGCCAAACTTTCTGTTGCCTCAAGTCCCATGTGGTGCTGGAGAAGTGGGTGCGACGACACCGAGCACGACGCAAAGGAAAGACAGCTGAGAGTCTGGCACGAAAATAATTGGCAAGGATTTCATAGTGAACATGGACGTCAAGGCCCCACGGAAGCAAAGGAGCAGCTTGGCAGATGTCACGAAGTTGGTCACTGGATTCGGGCTGGGACATCAAGAAGACATCGCACTGGGATGGTCCGGGCCGACCGCGCAAAGAGTCACAGGTCTCAAAATAGCAATCCAGGGCTGCAGCAAAATGATCGAGGCCAGTTTGGCCAAAATCGATGTCATGGAGCACAAATGAGCTGTCAGAGCCAGCATGCCATGCAGCTGGAATGGCAACATAGTCTATGCGACTGGTAGCGGAGCCAGTGGGCGAGACCCACGTGTGACTGGCTCCACTATGACAGGCACTATCTGTGGCAGGTAGCCAAAGATCGTGCCTCTGGAGGATGTCAAATAAAGGACCTGGTGCAGTCTGGTCACTATCCCATACAAGGTCGCCGATGCGAGAAGGCAATTCTTCAAATAATCTCGTGTTGTAATCACCAACAAGGACAACGAGATCACCTTGTGCACTGGTGTGCAGCTTGTTGCGAAAATTCGTCCACCAAGCGAGTCTGTCAGGATGAACAGCAGACAAGGCATGAATGGCAGCGAAAGTGATACGTGTCCCGCCCCGGGCAAAGCGGATCAACAAGTATCGTGGGTCCCAGGCAAGTGCTCTGAAATCCTGGCTGTGAAAGTAGAGAGGGACATCGCCAACCCAAGCAAAGGGATGCGTACGACTGAACCAGAGTTCGACACCGCCATTACCCCTAGCATCCCCTGCTGAAACAAACCTGAAGTGCGTCTCAGAAATGCTGGTAGATGTCTCCTTCGCTCGTGTTTCTTGTAGGCCCGTTACAACGGCTCCAACGGACTCGAGCTGTTCTCTAACATACCTGACACGTCCAGGAGCTGCATCACCTTGCCCGTCCTCGAGGGTTTGTACGTTAATGGTGAGCAGGCGAAAACAGAACCTGACAGTTGTAGAGGCGGCAGTCTCTGGCCGGGCAGTCGAAGAAACCTTGAAGAAGCTGTCGGCTGGGCACAGGTCAACACCAAAGACGTCACTGCCTGTGGAATCAACGAAAGCAGCCCCCCGATGTGTGGGCCAGGCCCAGGGAGCACGCACGGCTGCAACATGCAACCACAACCATTCGATGCTGCCATCTAGGATCCAGTCCGTCAAAATGGTGAAAATGTTTGGGATGCAGCTGGTGCCTGCAATCGCTTGTTTTGCAAGAGCATCGACTAGCTCATTGCGGCCATGACCGCGGTGG